GCAAAACACGAAAACTGACCGAAAGACAATTAACAGTACACACAAACAACAGAATACTAAAGACTGAGCAACACGAAAACTGGAGAAGATCATATAAACAAAACTATTGTTGAAGGCAGTACGACGAGCCGCAGTTTATAGCCTTGTCCTGATGTCTTTGGTGGCTATAGGTGTCTCGTTTGTAACCATACCTAATATCATCACTTTCATATCATAACGGACTTTTTCAAAATAATACTGGTACCAAAAGAAAATTATGAATTGTTTACTTTCACAACCAAAATTGTTTAACAGTAGCTAAAGAAACACAATATATAAACACGGACGGCAGTGCATGATTCTATGCAAAAGTTAAGCTAATACTAGTACTGAAAATTCAAATCCAACACACAAAATTGATATACGAACTTTTTTTATACAGAAGTTATTAACAGCATTTAGATTTTTTCAGTCCATCTGATACATTAAAACTATTAAACTATTGTCAGCATTTTGAATCTTTTTTTGTGTTTGTTTTTTGTTTTGTTATTAGGAAAGATTAAACAAGACTCTAATCTAACTACTACGTATGGCTATATATGAAAAAGATCAAGATATAATCAATAGAGCTAAGGAAAAGAGATACAATTATACAAAATATAACGGGGCCTTTCTTGTAATTCCGAGACCACAGTGTTGTAAGAAATGTTTCCGTTTGGCTTACAAAAATCCAAATCTCGAGGGAGCGAACATTCTCTGCGCCACGTCCTCATCGTGATCATCTAGTCCAATAGTTTATTTTAAAATTTTATGTGAAAAGCTTTCCTTATGGTGGAACCTGAATATTTGCATATACCAAAGCATTGTTTTTTTCAGTTTTAAAAACACACAAGAAAGGTTTGATTAATTCATGTAATTTGAAAATGTCCATTCTTGAAAAAAGAGTTTTATTTCAAATTTTTCAACTGAAAAAAATAAAGGGTCGTCTAAAATCGTCTTCACACAAGTGCATTCTTCTTTCTAACTTTATCGTTATACAAGGGATGGGATATGAGGACTGTTTCAACCCGGCACCATTTATCTGTGTCAGTCAACGGCGGATGTTTTCATTCATGTCAGAGTTGATTTATTGTCCCAGTCGTTGTTTTCGTTAATATTTGAGTGTTTTCTTTTTTTTTTTGTCCAAGAGGTTGTGTTCGTTAATATCCGACTGCTATATTTTTTTTTAGGAAATGAATGCCGATAGCAAATTTTAGTAGTCTCTGATAATTTATTCATGTTGTCTGTTCTATGGTCGGGTTGTTGTCTCTTTGACACATTCCCCATTTCCATTCTCAATTTTATTTTATACTTTATCCTTTTAGTGTTTGAAATATTGTATAATGTCCGACTATCTTTTAAGACTGTAAGTTGACCTCTATATATCTTTGTTAGTTGTTTGTGTCCTGGAGTTAAAGTCTCATTTACATCGAGTCCGCATCTCTGTTTAAGGGTTTTTGAAGTAACCAGTTTGTGATTATGTTTGTGCATGTATCAAATCAAATTCCAAAACTTAAAGAATCAACCACAGTCAAAAGGAAAGTACGTCGTCCGTAATTATGATTGGGGTAAACTATTGATACCAATATACCTCTTTTATTTCGTACTTCAAACTAACCATGTACTAGTTTTGAAAGATAGATACTACATCATAAAGTAGGAAGCAATGAAAAAAAGATAGTTACAGCATTTTGGGCCATATCGATTTTTACCGAAATTCCTAAATGAACTCTTGCCAAAATAGTGTGTCTCTAAGATAAGATAGTTTCTTCTCATCATCTGCCTAAATCACACCATTGAAAAGGGGATTTATACCAGATTTTCGATGTCAATGATCGCAACAAGAAATAGAAAAAAAATTTATCGACAGGCCTCATTTAATGACACAACTGATTTAAGTCGGACCTGTATTTAACAAAGCAAAGGATTTCTTTAACCTGTACATGCATGTACCTATAATTGTGTTCATAACACTTAAGTGTTATCTGTAAAAATCAGCATACTCATAAAAGGGTCAAGACAGTTTGAACCAGAGATAAACATCAAATTAAGACATTAAATGTTGCATAAAAAAATACAGATTTAGTGAAATTAATGGAACTTCACATGCCTTTGACATGTAAAATATTGACTTGAATACAAAAAGATAGAAGATCAGTTTAGGCTATACATAAAAAGAAGCAAAATTGATGCTTAAAGTTCACTACTACTGGTTTCGTCAGACAAGTGACATTCCTCAAAACAAAATCGGCAAATAACAATGAAGGGTAAGTCACACAATTGTAATGCAAAGGTAAACTTGTTTCAGATTATATATTATCAAAAAAATATAAGTTATCATTGTGAATATTCATGAAATATTTGCCGCTGAACGCAGTTGTCATTCGATTTATTGATCAATCAGTTAAGACTTTGATGGTTAAATCATAAATCATTACAATGCTATATACTAGTATCCCGATTTTTGTGGCGATGTATAGTACAAAGTGTTAAGTCGGACTCTTCATCTACGGTGATTTATAAAAAAAAAAACACCCACGCCAACTATGAATATGAGAACACTGCTCGTCTTTTGAATCCTTCGATGATATCAAATCTTGCATGATCCTTTATATCAAAATACAGTAATTGAGCTATATTTTCTTCAATATATCTTTATTGTTTGTAATATTTATCATATTATAAAAACCTTTATCTATTTCCATATTGTCGTGTTTTTTTTATAGTATTCTAGAAAAAGAAATAGAAATGTAATAAATAACTTCGATTTCCAACCCAAAAATTAAAAAAAAAAAAATCACTGAATATACGCAAGGTCCGCTACGTGTACTCAAATTAAAACTTTACAGTCGGAAAGCTGACCCCGGTTTGAACCCATTTCTTAAAGCAACAACGGAAGTCATGTGATTACCATATATGGGCATTTTTTTACCAAAAAAAGTGAAGCCCGTTTTTTGGAATTTGTAGTTTTTTGCATGAATTAAAACTAATTTGCTTTTAAGTGAACATTCTTGAGTATATAAGAAATATATTGATCCACTCAATTATGGATTAAACTATTTTTTTCTCTCAAAATGTGTCTTCAAAGTCTAGGTGTTGACCAAAAAAATCGGTCACTGGAAATTAAAATCGTAATTTTCTTTCTTAACTTCTCGGGAAGCTATGCTGAATTTAAATTATGTCATGTAACCTAACTTTGACTATGATATGTCAAATTTGTGCCACTTAATACGCTGTAATACGCAAATGTGCCACTTCGATGTGTCGATATTTCTGACGAAGCGGGGCCAATAGTAATTTACGAGTTACGTCCCTTTGTTTGACACTCTCATGATCAAACTATTATTATATTAAGCACCATATGCTGTTATATACATGAGGATATTATTAAAGTAATTTTATTGAATATATTTTGATACTAAAGACATGTGCAAAACACATTTTATCACTTTTCAGAACTCTCAGTGAAATACTCAAATAGGCCCTATGTCAGTATGTGCCATAATATTATTATTCCAAGAGTTAATTTAATATTTATATTTTGGTAAGTATTTATACTGCTGTAACGAAATTATTTCAACACAGAAATAAATTTCTACTTTAATCATACAAGGGGTAGCCAAAATATTAATGAATAATGGATCAAGACAGGATTAAAATGATCAAATACAGGAACTCCTTTTCATTACTGATACCTGATCCTACCTTTTTCATTTAAACTTAAACGAGACCATAATGAAAGTATTCTGAGACTGAATGTAAATTCTTCATTATTTGAAATAAAAGGAAATTAGTTTGCAATTCTTGTATGAAAAAACTAAATATAACAATCAATTTTGTCTCACTGATTCCATGCAGATTCTAATGAATGGACTCAAATTATAAAAAAAAAACACTAAACCAATAAATAAATGGTTCTAATCATGATTTTGAACTTGAAAATAGACAAGAACAAAAAAGACTGGGTCTAATATTTTTCTTCTTCTATTTAATTTTTTTTTAACAATTATGCATTTTTATATTTATATAAAAGTATTTCAGAGCAGATTCTGAGTGCTAAGTCAACAATATAAGTAAGTCACACTTCATGTCAGTATGAACATGCTTTGAATAAGAGTGATTAAAATGCTAGTCTGAAAGAGATTGTTTTAAGTTCATATTTAGGACAAGACTTTTTCATTTACCTTTGGCAGTTTTGCAGGATTACTTCATCACAATTTTTGTTATAATATTATAAACGATGAATGAGTTTTGGTTAAGGTTGTGTAAAGAAAGTATACGATTTCCTTACCTTGTTTTAGTTAAGTCAAACAATTCACTGACTTAAAGAGAATAATTAATCCAGTCAAATATTCAAAGCTGAACTCGCCATTGCTTATTCAAACAAACACACTAAATGTGTGTACATTGTGTAAAGATGCAAGTAGACATCGATGTGTAAGATAAAAAAACTACAATGTCAAAAAATGTCTTTCGTTTGGAATTTAGTTCGAACAGGGTTTCCTAAGGGGTGATAGAACGTTAGACTTGATTTTTGTTTTAACTTTGAGATACTTATTATTAATTTTTTATATAGTTTGTATAATCTTTGTTTATCTGGAAAAAAAAGAAGAAAAAAATAAAAGACAATTTCGCATAATTCTTAAACGACGATCAAAGGCATTACGTTATTTTTAAAAGACGGACAATTTATAACATGTTTAAGTATTATTTTCTTTGATAATAAGAACCATGCTTGAAAAATCGAACGAAATCTATTTTTGACCCTAATGGCAAGTAAGAAACAGAAAAAAGAAAAAATTCCAAATTGGTGCCAAATTATTTTTTCCGCGAAATTAACGCAATTTCAGAATGGCGGGTTTTAATATCAGTCCCATTGTTGTCTTGAGAAAGTAGCAACAACGGTCGTTTCTAAGGGCTTGCTTTCCGACTGTTTGATTCACCACATGTTTAGATTCAGCATATCAAAGAACCCCAAAAATTTTTGTTAAAATCAAACTAAGTTTAATTTTGGACCCTTTGGACCGTAATGTAGACCAATTTAAAAAACGGGACCCAAAATTAAAAATCTAAATACACGGTTAGATTTGGCATATCAAAGAACCCAAATAATTCAATTTTTGATGAAATCAAACAAAGTTTAATTTTGGACCCTTTTGACCTCAATATGAACCAATTTGATAGCGGGCCCACAAATAAAAAATCTAAATACATGGTAAGATTCAGCATATCAAAGAACCCCATATATTCAATTTTTGTTGAAATCAAACAAAGTTTAATTTTGGACCCCAATTTGGACCAACTTGAAAACTGGGCCAAAAATCTAAAATCTAAATTCATGTTTAGATTCAGCATATCAAAGAACCCCATATATTCAATTTTTGTTGAAATCAAACAAAGTTTAATTTTGGACCCCAACTTGGACTAACTTGAAAACTGGGCCCATAATAAAAAATCTAAACACATGTTTAGATTCAGCATATCAAAGAACCCCAAGAATTCAATTTTTGTTAAAATCAAACTAAGTTTAATTTTGGACCCTTTGGACCTTAATGTAGACCAATTTAAAAAACGGGACCCAAAATTAAAAATCTAAATACACAGTTAGATTTGGCATATCAAAGAACCCCAATAATTCAATTTTTGATGAAATCAAACAAAGTTTGACCTCAATATGAACCAATTTGATAGCAGGGTCCACAAATAAAAAATCTAAATACATGGTAAGATTCAGCATATCAAAGAACCCCATATATTCAAATTTTGTTGAAATCAAACAAAGTTTAATTTTGGACCCCAATTTGGACCAACTTGAAAACTGGGCCAAAAATCAAAAATCTAAATACATGTTTAGATTCAGCATATCAAAGAACCCCATATATTCAATTTTTGTTAAAATCAAACAAAGTTCAATTTTGGACCCTTTGGACCTTAATGTAGACCAATTTGAAAACTGGACCAAAAATTAAAAATCTAAATACACGGTTAGATTCGGCATAACAAATAAATAAATGTGGTCAAAGATTTTACAAATCTAATGCGCCATACTGGTCTTCCTTTATAAATATGCATTTCTTTAAACATAATTTAAAAGCAGTGTAAGGGAAGTAACCAAAACGTTGTATTTGGATTACCTCCCTTACACTGTTTTAAATTATCTTAATTGTTCATTAACCATTACTTTATACATAATTTAAAAGCAGTGTAAGGGAGATAATTTCAATGATGTATTTGATTTATCTCCCTTACACTGCTTTAAATTATGTTTTGTACTAAAGTATTTGTCCATTAATGAGGACAACCTTGTTTTTCCCCCTTTTTTGCCCCTAATTCTTAAACGGTTTGAGCAATAACCCCCCAAAGCAAATCCTAACCATCCCTTTGTGGTATGGAAACTTGTAGTATAATTTCAGAGAGATCCATACACAGTTCCACAGTTATTGTCTGGAAACTAGAAAATGCTTATTTTTGGCCCCTTTTTCCTTAACTGTTGGTACCATAACCCCCAAAATCAATCCCCACCTTCCTTTTGTGGTATTGAACCTTATGGTAAAATTTCATAGAGATCCATTCACTTAAACTAAAGTTAGAGTGCGAAAACTAATGCGTCTTCGGACGACGACGACGACGATGACGACGACGCCAACGTCATACCAATATACGACCACAAAAATTTTTTGGCGGTCGTATAAAAAGCACAATTTCTGTTTATATACTTAAAACCAACTTTTTATATATATTTTGACTGTGCAAAAAGAACAGTGGAAGTCTATATACTTTTTTATACCTTCTGATCACAAATGTTATCCATCAATAACATTGACACCATTCTCTGTACACGGCTCAATTCTATATTTCTGGATTGCATTAAAATGGCATTAACAAATGCAGCTTTCGGTATAACCCGTTCAATTTTGGTATAGCAGGATCGTTGTTGAGGCGGAAGCATGGTTGAGAAGAGCAATGTGCAAAGTACTGGTAATTTTTCCATCATTTCTTTGATTATACTAGACCATTCTAGAGATTTTAAACTATTGACATCTTTTTTCATCAGTTCACTTACAAAAAGCAATTTTCTGTTTCCCATAGTAGAAATTGATGAGTCTATTTCTAAACATAGTTCAGAAATAACTCCATTTCTAAAGTTATCTATCTTCATTAGTGCACCATATATATTGTTTTCATTGTCATTTTGAATCACATTGATTAAGATGGATTTCTCTTCCTGGTTTAAATAGTTGTTATTTCTACTGGATGTAGTATTCTTTAAGAATGTTGTAACATCTGGTAGAACTGGACTATACAGTGTATTTCTGTTCATGAACACATAGTCATGGTCAGAAGCAATACATGTACTTACATTATTTTGGGGTTGTGCCAAAATTGGTGTAATGGTTTCTCCAGCATAACTATGGTCAGGAATTCCTGAAATGAATATAAATGCTTATATTTAGCATTTTTATTATTACAGAGGAAAGAAATAAACCCTGAGAACAGAACCTTTTGACCACAAAAATAATATTGTTTGAGAAAATATACATTGTATAACAAACTATTTCATCATTTTATACTAAAAAGAAGCTCAAATACATGTATCATGTGTAACATGAAAATGTATAAATCAGGATTATCTCCCATGTAAGTGTTCAATTAAAGTTTTATGTTGCTTATCTCCCTTTCTGTTATGTTTCATATTCTGTTTCTCATTTTGCAAAAGGAAATGGTTTGCTTTAAATTTACATTTATTGCCTGGATACATACAAATATGTTTTCAACTAAACATTTCTTTGCATTAATAATCTAAAAGGATAAACTTTATCTTTGCACATATTATTAACCTGCACTTTATTTCATAATTAGATCTGTTAATAAGTTAACTTAATGCACATATCTGCAATAAAAGTTACTTTCAATGCCAAGAGTATCAGGACATTTATCTGGGTGTAATCGGTAAGTAAATACCTCTTACTTAAACCCAGTCCCCAATCATGTATATCAAATAACTTGAATTGCCAAATGAACAATAAATTATATGTTCAATGTTCTTTTCCTGTTGGTTTCCAGTTTTGTCAGATGAATTGCATTCTTTACATGTGTGCAGCACTGTGTCTTTTCTTTCTTCAGTTGATTGGATACCATAACATAAAATAACTGTATAACTGTAACATAAAACTGAACAACAAATTGTAATAACAATTAACATACATTTCCATTATTATCAAGAAATTTTGCTGATTTGAATTAATACTACATTATAGTATTCAGAGAGACCTGTTGGATTAATGTAACAAGCAGGCCATCAATGAACAACAAGCAGTAATAAACTGCTTCGCTGAGCGCAGCTGGATATGCCCGCAGAGGTCCAACCCTGAACAGTTGGGGCAAAAATGGACACAATATTCAAGCTTGATACAGGTCTGAATTTGGATTGTAATTAAATATTTGACATATTATAGGTTTCTGAATAAATGTAGTCAAAGAACTTGAAATTGGTTATATGAATTGAATTTATATTCAATTAAAGATTTCTTGCTGTTGTGCAATACACTATGCTGTTGCGCAATACTTAGTAAATCTGTTGTCAGACTATAAACAAATAAAATTTATAAAATTCTAAAGGGAGCTTACATCAATAGATATAAACAATTCACTAAAGTTTCATAAGAATTGCTGAAAGCATTTTTGAGTTATTGTCTGAAAACTGGAAAATCCCCCCTTTTTTAATGAATAAAACCCCATAACTCAGAAATGTAAAATCTAAAATTTATAAAATTCTAAAGGGAGCTTACATCAATAGATATCAACAATTCATCAAAGTTTCATGAGAACTGCTGAAAGCATTTTTGAGTTATTGTCCGAAAACTGGAAAATCCCCCTTTTTTTTATGAATAAAACCCTGTAACTTGGAAACGTAAAATCTTAAATTTATAAAAATCAAAAGGGAGCTCATGTCAATAGATATAAACAATTAACCAAAATTTCTTGCAAGTTGGTGAAAGGATTCTTGAGTTATTGTCCGAAAACTGGAAAATCCCCCTTTTTTTAATGAATAAAACCCCATAACTCGGAAACGTAAAATCTAAAATTTATAAAATTCTAAAGGGAGATTACATCAATAGATATCAACAATTCATCAAAGTTTCATGAGAACTGCTGAAAGCATTTTTGAGTTATTGTCCGAAAACTGGAAAATCCCCCTTTTTTTTATGAATATCCCTGTAACTTGGAAACGTAAAATCTGAAATTTATAAAAATCAAAAGGGAGCACATGTCAATAGATATAAACAATTAACCAAAATTTCTTGCAAGTTGGTGAAAGCATTCTTGAGTTATTGTCCAAAAACTGGAATTTCCTCTTTTTTTTAATGAATAAAACCCCATAACTTGGAAACGCAAAATCTAAAATTTATAAAAAACGAAAGGGAGCTCACGTCAATAAATATAAACAATTCACCAAAGTTTTATGCAAATTGGTTAAAGCGTTTTTGAGTTAATGTCCGACATGTTGACGACGGACGGACAGACGGACAGACGGACAGACGGACGGACGGACAGACGGACAGACGGACAACGGTATACCATAATACGTCCCGTAAACGGGCGTATAAAAACTCCTTTTTTCTTGTAGTACATGTATATTGAATAAATGTAATAAAGGTTGCATGTAAAAGTAAGATAACTCATTTACTGATTGGCAGTATTAAAAAAAAAATGGGGCTATTTATATAATTAGCTTATTGACATAGCGTTTCCATTAAAACAAAGAAATTTTTTTATTGGTGATAGTTTGTCCAACCCGTCATTAAGTTAAATACAGTAACAACAGTTAGATTTATTTTTATCTTCCCAAATAGAAAACCTATATATAGTTTTCAAACATGGTTCTGAGTTTCTCTTAACTTGTAAAAGTTAGCATGATATGACAGTATAAAATTGTTTTTTTTTTACAGCAGTTTTTACATGTATGTTGTTTTTAATGAGGACAACCTTTTTTTGCTTGCAAGGAAGAGTTATTGTTGCAAGAGGCTACCATAGATATAGAATGTATGAGACCAAATAATTATGATGTGTAGTGACATAGATAATAGATATATCATGTAGGGTGGCATATAAATATACCAAAGATTTATGGTGAATGGTTAAGTATAAATGTGCCATGATACATTGAACATGTATATAGTGTGTATGTTGCAATATAAATTTACCCAAGATATATGGTTTATATGTTTCTATACAAAAGTACATGTACCAAAGATCTATGGTGTATGGAGCCTTATAAATTTACCAAAGATTTATGGTGCTTAGCATGTCTGCCCAGTAAAAAACATGAAATCATACATGCACAGGTAAAATCACATAAATTTCAACAAATTAAATGAACAAATTGTCATGTTTTTGATACACACCTATATTGCTAGGCTCTGCATTGGAAGATAAATCTTCAAACATATGCTCAGTACTTGCATGTTGACTTGGTTGTTGGTAATCTGTAAAATATATGTGTCTCATTACCTTAATTGAATAAAACTAGATATCATTGAGATGGGAGCCATCTCTGTGGGCCCCGCTGTGAATAATGTGTGGTAAAAAATTGGTATCTTCATTGGACATGGGGTTGTCAACTGAAACCGAAGTTTATGAACTTGACCTTTGACCTAGGAAGTTGTACATAAATTATGACACACCCTCTGGTGTTGGTTTATATACATGTCAAGTATAAACTTTGAAATCATAACGTTTCTCAAGATATAGAGCGGACACGACCTTTACAATAGGACATGGGGTTGTCAACTAAAACCAAAGTTTGTGACCTTGACCTTTGACCTAGGAAGTTGTACATACATTATGACACACCCTCTGGTGTTGGTTTATATACATGTCAAGTATACACTTTGAAATCATAACGGTTCTCAAGATATAGAGCGGACACGATCTTTACAATAGGACATGGGGTTGTCAACTAAAACCAAAGTTTGTGACCTTGACCTTTGACCTAGGAAGTTGTACATACATTATGACACACCCTCTGGTGTTGGTTTATATACATGTCAAGTTTACACTTTGAAATCATAACGGTTCTCAAGATATAGAGCGGACACAATCTTTACCATAGGACATGGAGTTGTCAACTAAAACCAAAGTTTTTGAACTTGACCTTTGACCTAGGAAGTTGTACATACATTATGACACACCCTCTGGTGTTGGTTAATATACATGTCAAGTAAAAACTTTGAAATCATAAAGGTTCTCTAGATATAGAGCGGACACGATTTGTTAGGGACGGACGGACGGACGGACTGACTGACTGACTGACAGACTGATCACTATAGGGCGTTCGCCATTGTGCTGGGACCTGAGACCGTCATTTGGCGGGGCCCTAATTAAAGTATTTGTACAAACAAGAATATGTGTGTTTCACAGAATTAAGTTGCTATATGTTTGTACCTTGCATCATGATCATATCAAGATTCTTAGACTTTGACAATATGTGTGCAATTATAGATGACTATGCTGTATAGGTTGTGCTCATTTCTGAAGGTTGTATAATGACATATGTTTATTGGTTAACTTCTATATCATATAAATCAAAATGTGCAAAGCCAACATGAGTTATTGTACGATTTCTATAGCAAAGAGTGAAGACCAGTCGTAGTAATAAATGTAACTATAAGTCACTGCCATTCATTTAAGTGCAATTTTCAGTGTATTAATACTAAATATATATATATATCTATAATTTATAAAAATATAAATGGCAAACAATTCAACAATTTAAATATAAAATTGAAAACAGGGAAATGTTTTATTAACACATCTCCCTAAACAAAGACACTACACCCACCGGTTGTTAACAGAGAAACCACGTTCCATCGGTGTTTAACAGAGAAACCACGCCCCATCGATAATTAACATGTACAAGTCTGTACCAGTTTTCTGGTCCATTTTGTTCTGTTAAAGACTGATGGAATTTATTACTAAGAATAAAGAATGTCATCGTGGCCCCTTTTTATCCAATAAGAAAGGTATTAATACTTAACAGATATGAAATAAGACATAATAGTGTCCTGTGAAAAAGTTTTTTATAGAATTTTAGTTTTAAATTTGTCCATGCGCCATGAAATATTGTCCCTCCACGAGTGGACAGATTTTTATTGCAAAGTTATGAAATCGCGTCCACCCACAGGTCAACTTTTCATAGTAGTTGCTATTGAATTGTGTCCTCCAAGGGAAATAATACAAAGGTCATTAAAAAGTTTTACTATACTTGAATTTTAATAAAAATCAGAACGATTGATTAGAAATTGATTACATTAAACAAACAAATAATGAATGGAAGTGAATATAGAGACATTAAAGTTCTAAGAAATACCAAGCTTATGTTAATTACAATAACAGAAGCACAATAAGAAGGAAAGAAATCAAATTTGAAGAACTTTACTACATTTCATGCATTTATTATGAGAAGAAAGCAAAAAGAAAATATATAATTTTGGTGTCAAATAATATCCATTGCCATGAAATATTGTCCCCGAAGTGGACAGAATTTTACAGGAAAAGTGATGAAGGCTAGTCCTAGTCCACCTTTTGGACAATTTTTTAGTTGTAGAAGCTATTAAATTGTGTCCTCCAAGGAAAATAATACTGAACAGCATCTGTTACTTGTTTGAATTTAAATCATTCTACATGTAGATATATTAAAAAATATAAATAAGAAGATATTAAAGGATGGTATGAGTGCCAATGAGAAAACTCTCTCAAACATTTTTTTGTCAAAGTAACAATGTATTAAAGTTAGCAATTAAAGGTTAAAATATGTCCAGTATTAACAAGGCAATGGAAATCATTTAATACTTTAATCATATCAGACATAAAGTCCTATAAAAAAATGTCCATGGGACAGAATTAGAATGCAGGACAGAAAGTCACAGGACAAAAAGTCACAGACAAAAAGTCACGGACAAAAAGTCACAGGACAAAAAGTCACAATTCAGTTTTGAGATTATTTTTCTTTAAACAAGAAAACACTTATTTAGAAAATAAAATTTTTGTTTTTTCTTGAACTATTATATATGAAGCAACTTTGTAATTAAAATATATTCAATAAATATCAATAATGATCAACTAACTGTTGTGAAAACAATATGTCAAAGTGGCTTGGTACTTAAATGGCTTCATTGTGCCAAAAATATATCCTTTGCATGATTCAAATTTAATAAATTTTCATTTATCAAGTCTTATGAACAATTTCCTAAACTAAAAATGAATATATGTAATAAAAAGAAAATATTTCAAAATCTTTCTCTTATATATTCAAACAATTGTCAACAAATTATTTGTGACTTTTTGTCTTGTGACTTTTTGTCCTATCAAATTTTTGACTTTATGTCCTGTGACTTTCTGTCCGTTGACCCAGAATTATTGTATTAAATAATGTCCATGTTCATGCACACTTTTTCATACCTGAGGACATATTTTAATAAGAAATTGTGTCAGGGACACCGGGACACATTTGGATAAAAAAATGTTGTCCATGGACAGTAATTACTATGTAATAATGTTGGGTGGACATAATTTTATGGGGACATTATTACATCCTACATACATGTATTCACTAGTCAGTCAGGGGACTTATTGAAATAAGTGATTTTTTAATCACTTATTTAAGTAGCAAATTCGAAGTTTTGTCACAAATTGTGCTTTTGTAGTTTTACCAAAATTTTAACACATAGGTTCAGATAATATCTTTTCATTAGTAAAATTGAAAAAAATGAACTTTTTGCTTCTTTTAAGCATCAAGGTTTATGCCTTTGATGCAATCATTTAGCTGCAAATTCTATTTTAGTTGAAAAAATGCTATAAAAATGGCTATACATAATGAACTGATACTTTCTTAACAGATTTTTCCCAGCAGTGGGAGTATTTTTCCTTTAAAATTCAAGGTTTCATCTTATAGATTATGTAATAAAATTCTACTGTTCGTGATCAAAATTTCACTGTTCAGGGGTGTTGAAATTAGTTGGGGTTATTAAAATAATGATACTTAAAGAAGTGATTTTTTGGATGGAAATTGAGGTATGATACTTAAACAAGTGATTTTTATGTCATTATCCTAGATTTAGTACAAGGTCATCACCTGACATGACCCGGTCGTCCTTCTCAACACATATGTTGGTTCTGTTAATTTTAGCAACATAATTAGTCCCTGGATCTTTAGTATTCTATATTTAAAGCTACAATAAAATTAAATCACTAAGTCTAGTGATTAATTTGTACTACATGTACTTAAATAGGTGATTATCAAAGAAAGACAACTCTTACTTTCCAACCTTTATGGACATAATGTTACTTGAATCAGTGATTTAGAAAATCACTCTTTTAAGTAAGTCCCCTGACTGCTAGTAGATAGGGATTTTTGTTATTTTATTTTGTTTTGTTGTTTTTTTACATTGAGTCTATGCATGGAAGCAACATTCTGACTTGAACAGTGCTATTAATGAAAAATGACAAAAAAATCTTTAAGGTAGGCTATTATTACATTAAAAAGTAGTGTAGGTGGGGTAAATGGAATTACACATATATTTTTATTTGGCCTTTATAGTTAGTTGGTGCACAATACTGGTATAAAAATTTTGTACCAGTATTGTACCAGTATTGTGGTTTTTTTAAATAAACAATACATATAGGTAATTAATCTTTAAATTTATTAAAGGTGTCACATATATATGCATAATGAAATTAACATAATATTGACAATTTTATAAGGAATGATTGGACATATAGATTGTATGTTTAAATGATGGTATACTGCGATTGTCATCAAAGAAAGTTTTAAATCATGTTCATGTAGTTAAATTGATTATAATCAGGTTCCCCTATTAACCAACTTTTTATGTTTAATGGATATTGATATATTTTATTGTGAAAGATAAATTAGAAAATAAAGACCAACAAATGCATATAATCTTAGTATACATGTATTAAAATATCTGTAAAAAAATATATTATGGCATACATGTAAATGCTGAATTTACAGTGTTAGAGTGTAATAATTTGCTTGAATTTATTTAACAATAACTCAGATATTATTAATAAGCCTTTATTTTATTTTACCTAAATTGAATTAAATAAAACATAGAAATATGATATTAAAATGAATAGCAATTATTTTATATAATTAATAATTGTTGGAATAATATGAGTTAATCTTTTGTTTGTGTAACATGTATCTTTTTGATTTTAATTAGGGCTTCTGAGTATTGTGATTATCTTTAACTGGTTGTTGATTAATTTCACAATATTCCTCTTAAATCTTTTTGAGTTCATTTAATCCCCCTTTGATCTTCAATATCTAATTTTGCTTAAAATTCATTTTTTTTATTATACACCTTAAAGTACATGTATAGTCAACAATACAATACAATTACAATACTGGGTTATCAGTAATGTACCAGTATTGCTGTTTTTTTTCTAAAAAGCTAAAATACTG